CGTATGGGACCAGTCCCCGAGGACTGTTGCTGAAGCGGTGCCGGTGCAGGGGCGGGACCTATGGTGATGCCCTCGAATTTAGGAAGAGGCCCCTGCTGGAGGGCCAGCTCTGACGTGGGTTCCCGACCAGCTTGAGCGTGGCCTATGAGCCGAAGTGCGACGCCGAAGCCAGCAGCTTCTAGGAAACCACGGTTCTCTCGGTCTGCTATTTGCCATACCTGCGCCAACGAGGAGCTACATTAGCATGATTGCCGAGATCCGCGGACGTCCCGTCAGTTACAAGCCGAAGTAGCAGCAGCCACAGCGACGCGGAGTAAACAAACTGACCTCTCCAAGTATGCGCGAATCCAACCGGGTCTTCTCAAAGAATTGGACAGCTACCTCGCCTGTCACAACGCCCACGCCTTCGGTATCAGCCTGGCGAAAAAGGAGTCCGTAGACTCTTTTCTCTTCGGGGGTTAGGTTGAGGTTCGGCGTTCCTGGAAACCACCAACATCATGTTAGCCAACTCGCTCGTGACGTTTGCCGGCATCGAACGCAAATGCAGAGTAGACAGCTGGAACACAGCTCGTGCGATGGTAACTATAGCCATGCATGTTGTGACTCACCTCCCCCAAAACTAGATTCGTTGGCCATGATTGCGCGGCCAGGATCGCCCAAATTGCCAGCAACAAGCTTGTTCGTCGTATTGTCCCGGTCGATGCGGAGCTCAGGAGGGTCGGACGGGCGCTGCCTAGACTTGGATGGGGACTCAAATCGACGAAATGCAGCGCGGGAGATGGACAGGGACGGCAATCTCTGCTAGGACATGAACATGCAAGTCGGGAGTCGGGAGGCCAAGGTTCGCAGGAGCTCTCACGACAGAGAAGGGTCTCGTCGGGAGTGGTGTCGCTGTTGGTTGAACGGGATGGGACGGCAAGGAAAGGGTACCCTGGAAGGTATGGAATTAGTGTAATTATGGCAGGGTGGAGTTAATTGTCCCCAACCCGAGCTTGCGCCTCCAGTTGCTGTCCAGAGTTCGCAAAGGGAGGCTGGCCATTTTGCGTCCGGGGGGTGGCCGCCACTGCAGACTGCAGTAGCCCCAGCTGTAGGTAGGTAGTCTGCATGCACCACCACCTTCTTTTTCTTCACACTGTCAATCCTCCATCCACTCGCTGTACCGCGCGCCTGTCAAGAGCCGTCTGTCTCGTTGCTGGTCCAGGGCGTTGGGAAAGTGGATAATGCTTGCCTGATTGGGAGCATACCCGACCCTAATTAGTTGATTTAGAGACATTGTCGCTTTTGTCAGCTACCTTTAGTACCGTGTATCAAACACAGTATACATGTTCTTAAAGGATGAGGTTAAGGGAAATGGGGCGCTACTGTAGCTAAAAAATAGCTACAGCGAAGGTTAGTAGGTGCTAAGCATAATGTTGGATTTTACCATTGCGCCAAAAATCTGGCGGGACCGGTCCATTATTTGGTCACTGTCTTATGGTGCGTATTATCCAACACATAACTCTACCCAAAAATAAGAAGTACAACACTGGTATATATAAAACCCTTTCATCTCAATGTCTTGAGCCGAAGAAGTCTCCCCAGAGCCGCTCACACCTGCAGCTGCTCTGTCTTGCGAAAGCGATGGTAAGGAATAGCAGGATCTTGATACTCGACGAAGCAACAAGCAAGCAAGGTTTATCATTTCAAGCATTTAATCGCAGCTACTGACATGAAACCAAACAGTGTCGACACCGAGACGGAGGCTATCATGCAAGATGTCATCGATTCGGAATTTAAAGACAGCACTGTCACCGCAGTGATGCATCGCCTGACGCATATTATCCGTTACAATAAGGTCGCTTTACTCGAAGATGGCCATTTGATGGAGTTTGATGCACCACAAACATTGTTGCAGAATTCAAACTCGAAGACAAAGGGGCGCAAGTTCGAGGTTCAGCCCGCAAGTAAAATTGGGTTGATACACAAGCGTTTGAAGTCTATGGGCGGTATGTAGTGCAACAGCGTGGGATGAAGGCAGTCCATTCGTTTCCGTCTCGAAGCCTGATCGTCACCCAATGACATAGACAGGGCAAAAGAAGTGTGCAGAGGAGCTGCGTTGCATACCGAAATCCAGGCCAGTCATGACAGCCGTTCGGGGTCTGGGGTTGCAGCACCCGTGACCTTAATGTGGTAGCATATCTACATGGTATGGCAGCCCGATAACCTGACTGGACAGCTGCTTGATGAAAAAGCCATCTACTGCATCGGCAACTGCAAAGCTGGGGGGACCCCCCTAGGATATGTACGGTAGTGCATGATTACTTCGGGCTGTGTGGGGATCAAAAGGCCTACTCTACTGGTACAGTTGATAGATGACAGTTGAAGTTGTGTATGGCTTTGTAGGATAAAGATATAAGGAACGTGACATGGTGATACCGTCCTGAATCGGAATGGGAATTTTACCTGAGCCGAGCCTGAGCAAGACCCGCTCTTGTATAAGTCAACCCGAATAAATTTGCATAACTTTCAATTACACAACCTCCAAACCGGATTCTGGAGTTAAACGTACCTCGTAGATAGCTGGGTTTTACGTGGGTGGACTGAGCCCGTCTTGAGCGAAACCCCACCTTATGCATAAAGCTGATCATAAGATAACGGAGGATTACGGTGGTCTGCCGTGTCTGCGTATTCAAACGGAGCATTTCTTACTTCTTGGCGACTGGAGTAGTGAGCGACCTGAAGCAACTTCATGACACTTCCAATCATTCTCACAGCCAACTATTCACTCAATACATATATCGATGTATCACTAATAGATTCCTTCCAAGTTTCTGCCTTCAAGAGGTACAGCCCGTCAGATCAATCAGAAAATCACGTGTCCCAACCAACGCTTTCCTTCGCCGCCCGTCCCCTGCAGACTTGCAACGCCTTCTAACGTGTCTGGCAATATGATCAGGTTCAGCAGCAAGACGTTTACGCTCTAAGCGCAGGACTTCATCATCAATAGTCGCTGACTTCAAACATCCCGCAGTTGACAGCCAGCGGTCTCGGGTTGTCAAATCATTAACCCACGCATCGCATTTCCACTCAACCCAGTAGTCAACCACCCCATCCCAGTGCTTTCTAGGGGGCCCTTTCTGGTTGATATACAACACAAGGCCATCATTCTTGTGAGCAAGTTTCGCGAATTTTCTAGTGAGTTTCTGGATGCCATGTACTATAAGACTCGTCCCAAGGATCAAAAGCAAGTCGACATCAAGGGACAAATTATGTTGAATTATCTCTGCGATCGTCTGGGCCCGCAGGTCTAGCTCGTTGTATAGGAGGATGCCTGGTCGGAGAAGTCCTGGCTGTAGTGTACGGCCCCTTCTGCTTGTGGTAGGACAAGCTGGACAGGGAGGAAGTTGGAAGTTGCCCATGTGCCGCTGAGCTCCGCAACTGGGACCAACTGCATTGCTGTCTACATTTTATGCACCGAAGCAAACGAATCGATCAATGCAATTGCACACATTCAACGCCTCGAGGCAGAGATGGTTGAAGTGGCGCTGTTGTGTCGGAGGTAGGGTCGGAAATGAAAACACCTGGCCCTTTGCTTACGTCTATGCAAAGACCTACTTGCTCTTCGAGGCAATCGATATTCTGCGTATATGTTCTGACGAGTTGGCCACTTTTCAATAGATCCATAAGGAATCGATGCGGTAGGCTTGGCTGACTAGTCTCTGCATGCTCAAATAGTTCAAGGCAGAGTTTGATCAGTGCAGGCCCGTCTGATGGATGGGAAAGAGCCGTTTGCTGAAAGAGATCTCGAGTCTTGACACCGGGTCGATTTAAGTTGAATGATTCGAAATTCTAGTCCTGTGAGCATCACCGAAACTCAAGGGGTCTTTATTCTTACTGGGATGCTGGCACTGGTACTGATACCAGCACCTGTGATAGCGATAACTCGATTCGACCTTGCTATCACCTTAGCCAACTCCTCCAAAGTATCATGAGACTCGGCAGTAGTGTGGCAGACAGTCTGAAGCATGGTTGCGGATAGGTGGTGAAATTGGAAGCTTCAGGGGTGGATCATCTAGAAGCGGTGCTTGGGTAGGAAATCCAGGATATTATCAGATAGGGAGCTTTCGAGTATTTATTCTCGAAGAAGATTTTGATGGCGATGATGATAGAAAGGGGAGGCCTCTCTTCTGTTGGTTGCAACCATCCAGCTTTCAGCATTTGACATGGCCACAAGGAAGCTGAGCTAGAAGGGTACATATAACGGACGACTTCCTGGAAAGTCGTTTTACCTATAATAGGCAGGCGATGGGCTTTTAGTATTTGACTTGGCCTCGAGGAAGCTGGCCCGAGAGGGTATTATGCACCTGATCGAGGCGTATGACGGATGACTTCTTAAGAAGTCGTTTATCTTAAACGCCTAATAAGCGAGCTTCGGGCTTCCAGCACCCGACTAAGTCGGCCAAAGAGGCTGTTTTATATCAAATCGGGGCGCATGACGGATGACTTTCTAGGAAGTCGTGTATCTTAAATGCTTGATAGGCGAGCTGTGGGCTTCTAGTATTTGACTTGGCCTCGAGGAAGTTGGCCTAAGGGGGTATTATGCACTCTATCGAGGCATATAACGGATGACTTTCCAAGAAGTCGTTTATTCTAGACATCTGATAGGCGAGCTTTGGGCTTCTAGCACCCGACCTGGCCTTGAGGAGGTGGCTAAGGAGGCTGTTTGGCATCATATCGAAGCGTATGGCGGATAACTTCCCAGGAAGTCGTTTATCATAAGCCTTTATAGGCTGACAGCAAATATTTGGCTCAGACGATGGCCAATGAGGTAACCAATGTAGGCACACTCGGCCGGCCATTGAGAGCATGTCCCACACAGCGTTTGCGCGAGCAATACCCACAACAGAACTGGCTGTGAGGGAAATCGGAAGGAAGCTGATAGCTAAATAGTACATGGTTGTAAGTTAGCAGAACGGTCCATTATATATGGCAATAAGCGGACATCTATTCAATAATCAACCGGTCGGTTAGCTCAGTTGGTTAGAGCGTCGTATGTTGTTCTTTATCCACTGTCAGAAAAAATATCTATTAACATGCCACAGGTACTAATAATGCGAAGGTCATGAGTTCGACCCTCATACTGACCACTTAACTCTCTTTTTAAATTTTTTGCCTCTTTTTCCTAGAGTTTATTTTTTTATATTTTTTTCCTGCTTTACTTTAACCTTTATATAATGATAAACATAAAGTTAAGGTCATTATATATAATTAATGCTTTTTTTTTTTTTTAAATTTTATATCCTTTATTTATAATGCTTTTAATTAACTATAGCAAGCTAGGAGATAAAAATAGTGTCTACTTTATACTGGCACTTTTAACCGAAATCTGTGAGCCATTTTCATCTATTTGTTTGTGTAAACACTAGCTAGTTATTTGTGTTCTTTCAACTTATTGGCAGAGAATAGAACTGTATCTTTTCATTGTCACCATCTAGTATCTTTTAAATGTATGCGAGAAAGGGACACCAAGCACGCTTAGTGTCAGCAACCCATCATCAATTGGTTGAGAACAGGATCTGTTTTCAGCATACCTATGCTTCATTTACCGCCGTGATTTGTCTACGTGCTCTCAAGGTGGCGACCTCTTCTTGTTGTCAGATCCTTCGATTGAATAGGCATCGAACCAGTTGCCGTACCTTCAAGGTATTTATATCCGGTCTTAAAAACACTGTTCTCATTCCCAGTTCCTTCGGGCGAATTAGGCTTTCTTTCGTGCCTCGGCTTTGGGCAAGAGGTAACGGTCTGCTTATCATCCTCAAGGGCACTGCCCGGACGCAGCTTGTCGTCGGTATCAATTTCGCTTCGGTGCTCGAGGAGTCCAACTAATAGATCAGTCTTCTGCGCGTTCACAAGTCCTGTAGCAGTGACCCATTCCGTCCGAGTCTCACGCAAGCTTGTCTCCAGCTCTTGGTACCGTATCTGAATGCCGAGTCGCCGGGCGGGGTCACCAAACAGAGCATCCGTGGCAAAATAGTTCGTGTGCTGACTTCCGTCCTGAACCAGGTGACACTGAAGGAAAACCGCAAGCGGGTCCGCTGCCGCAGGTATTTTCACATCCAACTTGAATGGCAGGTTAATACGCATTCGATCTCGCCGTGCGCCGCTAATCTGAAATGTTTCACCCTGGAGCAGCGTTTCGCGCCAGTCTTGCAGCTTACGCCTTGCTCGAGGGACTACGTTCCCACGCGTCGGCGAATTGCCGTCACTGAGAGCGCTTGAATGATGGCTCGCCTAGACAGTTTGGAGAGTCGTGGGGTTCATCAATTTCGCTGGGTCTGTCGATGCAGTTGCATGTTTGCGGCGTCTTGGTTTGATCACCACCTCGTATTTCTTGCGAACACTATGGAGCTTGACCCGGAGAGCGTTCTCCATGTTTGATATCTTTTTATCCCGTTCGTTTTCATCAAGAGCCTCGTTAATATTTTGAAGTCGTAGGGTGAAAAGTGCTTCTGCAACGGCCATCTCACGTTCCATCGACAACAGTTGATGGGGGGGCAATTGTGCAAAGGGACTGCTCCAATCTGCATACTCCTTCCCCTTTTCAATCGTTCGCGTCAGCCATTGAAGTGCTTGCATTATTTCTTCGGGGGAGAATGAGCTTGACGTCACTGATTCCGAGTTCTCTGTCGCCTGGCGTTGGCTGGATTATTGTCTGCTTTGATCAGAGATGGGAGCACTACTTGGTGCTTCAGTAGACCCAGAATCGTGATCATTGAGGCAACGACCAGCCAATTTTTGTGTCCGAATCCGGCTTTTATGACTAATTTTAGCACTGATCTTGTCTTGTATAGCGTTGGCAAGCGATAAGCCTCGTTGTAGAATCGAATTCGGATCCTCCCTTAAATAGCTTGCCGCCCACTCGAGGAACGGAGCAGAATAGCAGCTAATTTTCAAGTGCTTCCCCAAGTTCGTTTCTTGTTTCCTATGAGCATGCAATTCTGCTAGTGGTGCTCCCTTCAGGCCATGCTCAAAGCCATTAGGTGTCCAGCGAGTATAGTGGCAGATGGATCCTTTTCTGAGAAAGTAGTCAACTGTGTACTTCTTGCCGAGTAACCAGAGAATCATGTTGAGCCCAGCGTCGAGGCGCATAGTGATCTCGCGGATGAGTGCCGGTTTCGCATGAAATATAGCTGCTGGATGATCAATGATGAGTGTGATTCTTTTCGGACATCGACCTTCCGTATCGAATTCCAGGCAAAATTTGATTTTCCCATCAGGCGGACTGATGATAACTTCTACAAACTTGGCCGATTTGTCGAGGAATTTGGTGTAGGGATTGGCTGGACAAACACCCGCAGCAATAAGAAACGGCAGCGGCAGGATTTTGGCAACATCTGCAGAGAATTCATCATGAAATCTTTTTAGTTCTTTCGACCAGCGCGTTGTCGTACATTGCTGTTTGCGGCGATCATCTGAGCATTCGGCACGCCAGTGCCAATCGTAACCAAAGAGTGCTTCATCGTCCAGGCCTTTACCATGAAGAAGCTGGATGGTAGGCGATTCGGGGTCCCAAAATGCAACATGCTGCCTATCATGACTCGCAACATGGAGAATCAGTCCGAGATCCGAATTCTCACGTCCTGAGGCTATAGTGAGGCGTGTGCGATCTTGGTTCGAAAGGCTTGTCTCTGCGGCATAGAAGGCTTCAAGTTTATTAGCCAGAATGGAAGCGAAGTCCTCCTTCTCGGTAATGACTGGGCGATCCCGGTTATCAAAGAATTCAACAAGCAAGGCGAGTTCATGCTGTCCTAATTGGGTGGCGGCTACCTCCGCAAAACGCCGAGCAATAGCTTCGCCTGAGAGAAGTGTTGCGATAGTTTGATGCCGGTCGTATTTAATATCAGCAGGCATGTTGACATCGGCTGGGTAGGATTCAATGTGCTCATTTTAACAAGGGGATGCTTGAGCATACATCAAAACAATCCGAGCCTGCATGATTCAAGTATTCTCAGTATTTCGTGACAGACGATCGTGTGTAGGGTTAATTAATTGACACATGCTCATCCTCAAAAGGTCTGTCGCAGTACTGGATGTACTCAAGAACGTCTGATTACCGGTGTCGCGTCTTTGACTTGTCTTGTGGTAGGGGAAACCAAGGGGTGATATGCAAATAAGCTGTGTTGAAAGTGATGATGATGAGAGAAGGTGCCAGAGGGGTCAAGACAGATTTGAAGCTGGCAGTTGGCATAGTGAAGCATGCGGACCGAATCGGTTTAGAGGTACAAGCCTATGGACCTGTATGATACGGGCATGGCCGGGTACTACTGTACTGTCAAGGACTCCGATAAGAGTTCCTGATCTCCAACAATTACTCGGTCGGTTAGCTCAGTTGGTTAGAGCGTCGTACTAATAATGCGAAGGTCATGAGTTCGACCCTCATACTGACCATATTTACCTTTTTATTTTATTTTATATGGGTGATAAAAGGCAAGTAAAATATATCATGAGTTCTGTGTTGTTTTACATTGGTTTATAACCGTCATAATTTTTTAATAATGCCTTTGTTTGATTCTTAGCATTTATCCTTTATAAGTTCCTAATTCTGATCTTAAAGCAATACAGTAGAGAAAAATGACCTAGGGTAATTGCGTCTGCCTCGCTAACGTTTAGATCCCGCGAGAATGGGACCAGTATAGAATATAGATTGGTACATAGTATAATATTGTACTAGTACATTCAAGACCAGTACGATTTCAAGGTATAGAATAGCACCAGACTAGGACCAGTACGGGGAGATTCCGCTGGGACCAGTACGATAATCAGACCAGTATAGCTGTGGAATTGGGGCCATCTCAACTATGGACCAGCGCGGAGGCGACCCAGTCCCGATATCATACCAGTCTTAACCCAAAATACGTACTAATCTTGACAGGATTGGTACAGTTTAAACTCACAGAATGGCACAACGCTGACCAGTACAAGGGGAACCTGGGGACTGGTACGATAATCGAATCGGTTTGGGTTTAAAACCCCGAATACTACTGGAGGCCCAGTACCATTCTGAGCTTCGCACCAGTTCATTCTTCGGATGGGGGTTCGCTTAGTTAGTCAGTCATAACTTCCCCGCAGGCATCGCTGCGATTAGGGGGCCGACTCCCTTTTCGTTAGCGGTCTTGTGGGGGTCAGTAAATCTTGTCCAATGGGCATGCCTACCGAATGTAAGCCTGAACAACGCCTTCAGATCCGAGCTGCATTCGGTTCGCCAAACTTTGGTGATGATGCATTATGCAACTCGTTTTGCTTCTTCCTAGGGGCGCATTGCTGATAGTCGTCCAGTCTTCCCCCCTTGCAAGAAGATTAATGAGCTTCTCGTCCTCCTCCGGTCGCCATCTGCTACCTGGCTGCGGTGCAGCATTTCTGTTCGACGCTTAGAGGAAGACGAAAGGCATTACGGTCTGCAATCGAAAAGAGGGTTTATTGGTCGAAAAAAATAGTCAAGATGAGATATCATGTCATATGTTGTTTTTCTATTCCTATATTTATTTTACCTGCTGACTTCGACTGTGGCGAATACTACCTTAGTATGTTACTGTAGGCTGATTCCGTACCCAGGGGATGAATATTCGGACCTCACGTTCTGCTATCCGGACCGCAGCTAAACCGCAATAGGTGATTGTCGTATCAGTGTCTCCACACACCCTTGTTTCCTATACAAAATGGGTTAATTTGTGACGCTATGTGGACACCAGAAAAATCGACGGTCGAAACCTCTGTTTTTGTTTTTGTTGTTTTTGTACGTACTACTTACTACATATAAGTGCTGCAGAGTGGTATGACTCATTATTGATGAGTCATCAGTGGCTAGTGGTGGGGCTAGTGCTGTGGCATACTTATTTTTAACTGCAACCTAAAAATGCGTTGTTTGACTATTTTGACTAAAAATAGCACTAATCGATAAGGAATTCAAAGGTGAAGCTAAAAACGATGAGTAATTAATAGATATTGTAATGCGCGATAGTGTTGTTGATAGTTGAAAATGTAGTTGTTAAAGGTTAAAGGTAAGTAGTGGAAAAGAGTAAAGTGAAGAGACTAATAGGTAATTAGTGGGCGGAAGGAGGGTGGAAGGTTAGAAAAGTAAAGGCCTCTGATTGGTTGACGGGCTTTTTAGCTGCCGGATAGCCAGAAATTTTCAGAATACTGTTGTTTTTTTATGTAAGTAGGCATGGGTCCCTTTTATATCAATAAGGGGTCTACTCTACTAGCGCTATAGATATAGCTAGCGGAGTGGGTCTTGTTCTAAAAAGGAAACACCCCCTGCTATTAGCGGGGTCTGCTTTCTAATTAGGGTTAGCTGCGGTCCGGATAGCAGAACGTGAGGTCCGAATATTCATCCCCCCGTACCCAGATCTAATTTTGGACCCCGGGCCGTTTCCGTACATCAAGTCTCGAAATGCCTGTAGACGCCTCTGATCTTGGGGTCGAGGCCGAATATATAATACTACAAGAATATTTATACAGAAAACCTGCTATCTTTCCCCAAAACGTGATGCTAAGACTTCCTTGCACCACAATCACTTTAACCTACCTTTTTTTTATCCCAACGCGAAGAAGATATGCTGGCTATTCTTCCCGCTCCCTTGATTGCTGGCGTGGCAGGTTCAGACATTGCTCTTACGGGATCTGCTGGCATCGACCTCGAGATCGGAACAATCACGAACACTGATGATGGCTACGGTTATCTGACTGGCTCCGCCGTTTCCACCTCCATTTTGTCGGCCCTACCCTTCTTTCGGCTTCCCTGTCAACTACCACTCGAACTTATACAGTTACTGTCAACTCCCCATGCACCACACCTGGAGCTAAATAAGTTCCAGGAAAACAGTCAGTCACCCAGCAGGTGTCCCAAGTGATGCTTGTTACAGTCACACGACAGCTTTGCTCTTCAACGAGCAGAAACGGCCTGCAGTTGACTGGCTCAACTTTCTCGAGTTCGTCAGCTGCACGGTCCACAATCAGATCTTTCGGGAACTCGCTGCCTTACCCAGCATCTGGGGCTCCGTCTGCTCCGTCTGGTGCTCCGTCTGGTGCTCCGTCTGGCTCTGGCTGGAGCAGCATGGTATCTTGTAAGACCAGCACATCGCTACGCCCATCCAGCGGCCCAGATTGGATTCATAAGTCTAGCAGCCCGCTTCGCCCAACGCCTACGACGATTACCAGTTCAAGAGCAAGCTCGGCTCCTACTCGAACTAATACACCGATACAGCCAGCACCCACAGAATCAAAGGGCTTGGGGCAAAGTGTCTTGTTTCAACAGTCCTGGTTCGCCTTATCGATCACCGTATCTACTATTTTGTTTTCCTGTCTCTAAGTCTCGAAAGCACACCCTTGGTCTTCTTGTGTCGGATCTATAGGCTTTCAATTTAAAGGACACTCAGTTTGTCGGTATTTCAGAATAGTTAGTTATATTATGTAGAATCAAGTCTGTCTAGATCATTTTTATGGCTTCTCTATATCTATCTCCATATTCCTTTTGCTATAGGCTTGACTAGGACTATAAACTCCTCTTCCCACGCCTCTCTGATGAGACTCAATCCGTTTTTCCTCATCTGTAGTGCACTCTCTAACTCAATGCCTCTAGTGTTGAAAACTTCTCTATTAAGCATCCGCTCGGTAGCTGGTGCAACAACAAGGGGACCACAGCTAGAACTATCAAGTTGTTGTAGGCAGTCTTGCCATAAAAAGAGCAAAAAGGTAAATATGGTCAGTATGAGGGTCGAACTCATGACCTTCGCATTATTAGTACGACGCTCTAACCAACTGAGCTAACCGACCGGTTAATTGTTAAAGGTGTGGGGTTAATTTACTGTTATCAAGCTTTGCCATTGCCGCGATCGGCCCTATAGTTTAGATGAGTCAGCAGACCAATCATGGGCATATATGGTCATCAGTCACGCTGTTGGGATGGATGCTCGGAAACCGTTTTATTTAGCAAAGTCTGTGTCGGTTTATGCTTGTCATTTCATATTCTTCGAGGTTCTCCTAGTCCCATGGCAAGATGGATGCGGATGGTCCATCTTTTGCACATTAAGCCTTCTTTCTGCCTATTGATGATTCTAAAGCAACAAGTTCGTCTAAAAACCATCATGCTAATAAAGACGCGCCACTTGTCCGATAAAGTCTAGAAAATCTCGCAGCGGGTCAAGTGCAGCCACGGTTGTATTCAACCTCGTCAATAGGACCTTTAAGCCATCTGAAGTTAGCACACGCTGAGCTCTTTGGATGAGCACAATTAATTACCCAAGGCGAAGGCGAAGTAGGATCTGCAGCTGATACGGTTCAGAGCTTCTATTCTGACGACTGGTGCTATTAAAATTGCTAAGATGATTTACAAACAGTAGTATACTGCTATTCCTCCTACAAAACATTCTGCCTGGAAGAAATAATGGGACAAGAAGTCGCCCTAACTCTCACGGGGAGCAGTGCTCAGCTTTATGCAGACCCGAACTCGAATTTCTGTCAGAGTGAGACTACTATAGAAGCAGACCAGAATTATAGGTGGAAATTGATGAATACAGCTAAAAACAGTTTCTTGCTGTGTAACCATGGAAGCCCACAACGCTCAAAATTAGTACTCGGCATCAACATCACCTTCAACCTCGAGGGAGTCGGTAGCAACTTCTTCGTAATCCCGCTCCAATGCAGCCAGATCCTCACGAGCCTCAGAGAACTCGCCTTCTTCCATGCCCTCACCAACGTACCAGTGAACAAAAGCACGCTTCGTGTACATGAGATCAAATTTGGCCGAAAGGGCAGACCAAGCTTCGGAGATAGCAGTGGTGTTGGAGAGCATGCACCTAAGACTATGTCAGCATTGTATTATGGCAATGGCGAATGGATTTGAACATACACAGCACGGTCGACCTTGGCTAGGTCACCGTTGGGTACCAGCTGAGGAGGCTGGAAGCAGATGCCGAGCTTGAATCCAGTAGGGCACCAGTCTACAAATTGAATGGTCCGCTTGGTCTTGAGCGTAGCTACTGCAGCGTGAGCGTCCCTCGGAACAACATCACCACGGTATAGCAAGCATGTAGCCATGTATTTTCCGTTTCGAGGGTCACACTTGACCATTTGATTGTAGGGCTCGAAGCAGGACATGGTCATCTCCTGCACCGAGTTGGCTTCGTGAGCAGCCTTAGCAGCTGAGATGACAGGCGCATAAGCAACCAGAGGAAAGTGGATGCGAGGATATGGAACGAGGTTGGTCTGAAATTCATTCAGATCAACGTTGAGAGAGCCGTCAAATCGAAGGGAAGCCGTGATAGAAGAAACGACTAAGCATTATTAGTATCGACTTGGGTGGATAGATTACCAAAGATGTTTTTTACCTTGAGCGATAAGACGGTTGAGATTCTCGTAATTGGGGCGCTCTAGGCCGAGGTTGCGGCGGCAAATGTCATAGATGGCCTCATTGTCGACCATAAATGAGCAATCAGAGTGTTCCAATGTGGTGTGAGTGGTGAGAATGGAGTTATAGGGCTCGACAACAGAGGTGGCGGTCTGAGGAGCAGGGTAGACACAGAATTCCAACTTGCTCTTCTTGCCGTAATCAACGGATAGCCGTTCCATCAAGAGCGCGCCGAAACCAGATCCGGTACCACCACCGAACGAGTGAAAGACCAAGAAACCTTGGAGACCAGCGCAACTGTCCGCAACACGTCGAATCTTGTCCAAAACTTGATCGATCAGCTCCTTACCAACCGTGTAATGGCCACGCGCGTAGTTGTTGGAAGCATCCTCCTTGCCGGTAATCATCTGCTCGGGATGGAAAAGGCTTCGGTAGGTACCGGTGCGGACTTCATCGACGACGTTGGGCTCGAGATCGCAGTAAATAGTGCGAGGCACGTACTTGCCCTGGCCTGCAATTGAGATGATTAGAAAGGCTGTTCCTTGCAATAGGTTTCTTTCGGAACATGATGCCTACCAGTCTCGGAAAAGAAAGTGCTGAAACCATGGTCAGGATCAGCTTGTTTACGCTCCTCAGTCAGGTATCCATCGGGCTAACAACGTTCCTAGTTAGAATTTGGTCTCAGAAATGAACGAAGCGGAATACTTACTTGAATGCCGTGCTCAAGACAGTAAAGCTAAACAAATAGAATGTCAGCATCATACTTTGTCGTATAAAGTGGGTTATGCCAGACAAATCGTCAAAGTGAGCGAGTCGAAAAAGTGCAGCATGGCCGCTTCTTGCAAGCGTGTACTTACTTCCCAGCACGAGTTGGCAATCTGGCAACCGGCTTGGCCAACTACAGACAATGGCCTCGTTAGTATTCTGATGATCCTATTCTATGTACTCTACGTGCGGCCCCGTGACAGGGTGACGGATATCGAGCCTGATTATGCGGTGAAGGGGAGAGACGCGTGCCTCGTGAAACATACCGTTGATGCTGATGATCTCACGCATGGTGGCGGTGGGTAACGTAAATGTGACAGAGAAGTGAGCAGAAGGGAGAGGGGATCTTGAGGGAGGAGAGTGGGATCAAATAACAACAACCTGTCTGGGAGGTTGAAAGTAGGAGAGAATGCGGTAGTCTAGGAGTCCGGTCGAGAAGTTCTGTTGATGGTTGAGGGCCATTTTGAGCTCGGTGGGGTCGCCTTTTTTGTTTGTCCCCCTGTTTTTGGTAAGCGCAATGGGCGGGTTTCGGGTTGTCTGTTGATACCCCAATTCTACTCTCGCCCAATCAACGTTGGTGACCAATCAACAGGACAACTGAACAGGACTAGTGAGAGCTCGAGCACAGACCAGATACCCTTACAATGCAGTGCGCCGACACTCCGGCAGCTACCGGACGAGGTCCGCATGTGGAGCCCCATTTATTAGCGCTAGGTACCTACATGTAGTGTCCCTACCACCTAGGCAGCTCCTTACAATGGCAGGTATCACTACCTAATCCGTTGGTGCTGTGTTGGCGAAATTTGTTCCAATCAATAGCACCTCTTCTGCTCACCTAATTTTACGTAGGCAGCACATTTTTGCTCTCCTTTCTACCCTCGTCTCACTCTTGCCACATCTAGTAAGTCGTCGACATGCTAGCCTTGTACATTTGGGTATCTCTCATACTTCCTTATGTATGGGGGAACACCGAGAAGACGGTTTTTCTTGGCCCATCCCCAGTAGATCTCGACTCGAAACTTCATCCCGCGTTAGATTACTTACGACTCGTTTCTCTCAATCCTAATAATTTCACCGTTCGCACACATCTTGAAGCTGAACGCCCCGGCAGTGATGTGAGACCGGGCACGGCCTCGTGGCTTGTTCTGCATAATCTTGCGGAGGGCCAACGCTATGAAGTACGCATTTGCTGGGCAGCAACCGTAGGTGAAATCTCCTTTTGAGCTTAGTTGGATGGTAAAGGGTACTCATTTCTATCTTAGCAGCCAACCGCATTTAGGCTAGAAACGTATGAACTCGAAAGTATCTTCGGTGTCCCTGAATTGACATCAGAACTATCCGAGTATGCATCTATGGCGCAGTCTAACATGAAGATATCTTCCCAAACCTTACAGCCAGGTATAACAGAGTCCATGTTGCTTCTCAGGGTCATCGCAGGTGCAGATTTCTTTACTACGAATCATACATTGATGAATAACGCTGCCCCGGTCACTATAGACATCATCCTGGACCCCTTTCTCCTTAATATACTTCCTCGATCACTTCTCCCCACGGTAATTTATACCATCGTGGTAGCCATTGTCTCCTGGTTTGTGGGTAGATGGATATCATTATGGGTTCGCCAAATAGCAGCCGAGCCAACAAAACAGAAGTATCAATAGTCTTCTCGATACACCATCTGATCCCATATCAAGAACCGCAGTGGTTCCTTCATAATCATCAACAATATACATGAATTCATTCAATATGATTTTCAGCAACGCTTCCCTGCGGGATCCAGGACATACAGACCACTCCAATATATAAGCCTTTAAAGATGGGTATGGAGTTTTGACCAACAGCAACCAGGGCATGATCAAAGCAGCAGAGTTGCACTATTGGACGTGTTGCGCTATCGGCCAACTAATGGCTCTGTGAAAGCACAATTACCAGTTCCCAGGGTGGTATCCTGTTTGACCTCCATGCTGACCATGCTGCGGGGTAGGTCCATGGTTGGTATACGAAGGTTGGCCAGGGTATTGATGCGGCATGGCCGTCGACGAAGATGATGGGTATTGTTGGCTGTACGTAGGAGGCGAAGGGTATTGTTGTTGATGGCTTCCATACGATGGATGAGGTGGATGGGCTGGAGAAGATGTGTATTGATTTTGTTGCGGAGCTGTTCACATTAGGTATTCTGGTATGTTAGGAATCGCTTTAGCGCCAAGTTACTCACCATATTCGTGTGAAGATGGGCTATGTCCATAGTTGGACGAGGGCCCACCACTTCCGTATGGAGGGTTTTGATGCCCTTGGCTATACGGGGAGGTACCGTGGTGTCCTGGTGGGGGAGGATAGGATGGTGTACTATGCTGAGTTGGAGGAGGGTTAAATGAAGGCGTGCTGTGTTGGTTAGAAGATGGCGAACTGTATGAAGCCGTTGATCCATTTGGCGGCTGGTAAGACGTTGGAGGAGCTTGGCCAGCGTAGCTTCCCGATTGGCCGGAATTCGAGTAACCATAATCCTGCCCCTAGATCTAAGTAAATAGCTTGGATCACTAACTTCATGAGATCGAACTTACTGATTGTTTGCCGTGGTGTCCCCCAAACATACCTGCCACGCCTCCTACCACTTGTCCAGCCAGTCCACCAGATGAATGAGGCTGTTGGTGCTGTCCGCTAT